GACGAGCCTGACAATTGGAGTACTTCCGGTTTGCTAAAAAAAGCTTTCCGTGTCGTCCCTGTGGCTGCACTTTAAAGCGTTCCGCTCCTCGAGTTGGTGATAATGTTTGAGGGTGGTTTTTTCCCCAGGTGCATTTTGATAATTGTGATAGTAGTACTTCTAGTGGTCACTAGTGGAAGAAGTTTTAGGCGGAAGGGCTGTTTGAATGGGTGGGCTTCACATTTTTAACACCCTCTTGCTCACGTTAGGGCCAATACACAATTCTGCAGAAAAGGTGGGTGATGGTCAATGCCCATTCAGATTTATTCAATTGATTTTTTAAAAACGTTAGCTACATAAATACGCTAATTTTAACTCAGTAATGTAAAAGTGATAGCATGTATTTGAATTGGTTTCAGTGCCATAGGTTTATTTTCTTTTTATTCCATATTTGCATCAGATATTTTATCCCAGCTTTATTATTTTGAAACAGGATTTTTAAACAATGGGATGGAGGGAACCGAACAGAGCACACCACAAGAATATAATACATAGGTGAATCTGGTACAAAGAGTCTACCTTTACTCTTAGTAACTGAAGTGGAGACATGATAGCAGTGTTCCAATATCTCAGGGCTGCCAAAGAAGAGGGAGTCAAGCTATTCTCCAAAGCACCTGAGGGTACGACAAGAAGCAGAAACTAATCAAGGAGAGAAGCAACTGAGAACTAAGGAGAAATTTCCTGACAATTAGAACAATTAATCAGTGGAACAACTTGCCTCCAGAAGTTGTGAATGCTCCAACACTGGAAGTTTTTTTTAAAAGATGTTGGATAACAATTTGTCTGAAGTGGTGTAGGGTTTCCTGCCTAGGCAGGGGGTTGGACTAGAAGACCTCCAAGGTCCCTTCCAACTCTGTTATTCTAAGTGCAAAAATAGAGGGAGTTTGAGAGTGGCCTCTGGATAGCCACCCTACTTGCTTCCTACATTTTATGCATGGTTGTAAGTGCCCTAGCTGTTTTAGATGTTGACTTGGGGGGTGAATATTGTTTGGTCCTCCAAGTATCTTATTTCCTATCCTTATATAAAGCATTGCAATCACACAGCATTCCTGATGACAGGATTGGAATGATATATTCATATCAAAACACATAACAGGACAGGCAAATGGGAATCATGGTGCAGAGTTGAGCATAAGCAACAGAAGACAAAGCCAAGATAAGAAGAGGAGAACATGAAAGTAGGAGCTGAAAGGTTACAGGTTTATTGGAATAGTACAAACCTATAGAGAAGGAAGAGAGAGTGTAGTGAATTAAAACACTGGAAGTTTGTCTAGTGTAAATTGTATTTACATTTACATTTTCTGTAATTTCCAACATTCATCAAGTCGGAGTTCATAATCATTATGTACTTTGTGGATTAAAAAAAGATGGTGCAGAGTATAGTAGCTATTGTCCCTAAAGTATAATATTGAAAGGAAGGAAGCTGTTGTGGAATATAAACAAGTGGAGGAACTGAGTTTAGATTTAGGAGTTGTTTAGGTTTTTTGACAGTAGTCTTTGAAGTTGTTGGAATAGGATGTTGGAGTAGAGGAAACAAGCCAATGTTAGGAAAATTGGTATCCAAGCTGGATATTAGGAAAGAGAGAGAAAAGAAAATAGACTGTGGGAAGCTGATTTACCATGGCTTAGAGAAATGGAGAAGGCGTTTAATCCAAAGTCTGCAGAATCTGACTCCCTGAAGAATGATTTAGTGAGATAGCAGTTGACTGAGTAGTATCCATGGCCATTGGAAATCTTCGTTGGAGGAGGCTAGGTTATTTTGGGAGATGCTTGTTCCCAATTGTTTCTACCCATTCCAGCCAATCCAGCAGAAGAGGCATGTTGTGAACCCCATCAATTAAGGAATGTCCTCTGGCAGGACTTAGAAAGCAAGCCTTTTCTGTTTTGGCACTTTCTCTTTGGAATTTCAATGTCTTGGAGATTAGGTTGGCCCTTTTGCAAGGCTCAGAAGACATAGTTGTTTTTCTGAGCATAAGGTTGGATTGACAGAGCCCTGCTGTTTGGTTTTACTTGTCATTAGCCAAAGTTAATCATGATGGTGAGATGGGCAGTCATATAAATTGAAAAATATAAATAAATCTGGTCCCCTAAACAACATGACAACCACCATTAGTAAGACCATGGCTAAGAGGGACAGAAACAGAATACTTAGTAGCATTAAGCAGCGCTGTCTGGAGGTCTGAATCTTTGGGTAAGATATTCAGGTTTCTTAGTGATACTTATAACTGAATGGGAAAGTAAGGCTGAATATGAGCTTCTTTGGTATTGCTGCTGGGAAATAGAACCAGTATCTGACTAGGTCCATTGATAACATTGTGGACCCAAAGTTTAAAGGCTTGAAATGATGCCAGATCATGGCAACCTGCCAGCATGAAAACTCATTGGGAACTTTAGCCAATGACTGGTTCCTGGGCTATTGTACTCCTAGTAGAACTGATAGCAGGTCAGAAATGGGAGAGTTGACTTGCACTGGAAGCTGAAGTTTGCCTTCATTTATAGGGACAGAATGTGTGTGTGTGTGTGTGTAGTGCATTACTTATCAGCAAAACTTCTTTTGTCTAAGTAGGGTTTGAGTGGTGATTGATTTTTTGATGTTGAAGCCAGAATGAGTGACTTTGCTGTTTCTCTAATTCTGGGATGGTTACGTTGTTGTAGTACTTGCCAGTATAATTTAGTCTGTGTAAGTTTTGACTGAAGGGGAGGAATATAGTTATGGTCCAGTAATAAGGGTTGAGGGAGATATAGCTGTAAATTATTTTAAGGAAGGGGGAAACCAGTAAGTTGTTAATATTAACAGTGATGATAAAATCTGTTGATAGATCTGTAATCTGTTGATAATAATTGACAAGTCTGTATCTCATACATACAGATACTAATCATCTCTATGATTTGATGGTAGAAGAGCACCAGAAAATGGTGAATATTATTGAGTGAATATTATTGGGTGATGGTGACGGTCATTATCTGCCATCTGCCCTCCCAGGTTTCAAGTGCTTCAGGAGTCTCTACATCCTGATCAGAGGAAGGGTAATTAAAGCACCCACTTCTATTCCCTGTGACTCTGCTCCAAAGATAATGGAATGTGAATGGAAATACTGCATATTAAGTTGGACAGTAGGGACAAGCTGGATATTCTATTGTAATGGTTATCCTGATGCCCATGAGAATCACTCCCTAAACTGTTGATTTGGTCTAGATGCTGATATTAGAGTTCTTTCATAATTTGGCTCTGGGTGATTTCAATTTCCAGGCTGTCAGGAGTGATTTGAACAAAGCTTGGAGTTCTCTGTAGTAATAATGAGCTTGCCCCAAATAACGTAAGACCTTTGGGGCAGTTTTGTTGAATTCCTGATCACCTGTCAACTGAAGATAATCAGTGTGTTTGCTTCCAGGCTGCCTCTCCTAATCAGCCAATCTTGGTTGGTTCCTTGGTTTATCAAGAACATCTAGGAGATGAAGTAGCAGAAGGTATGCCTGGCATGCACTAAAAAAAAATAAAAAGTGAATTTCACCCAAGACAGGTGTGAACTCAAGCTTAAAACCTACATTTTGGTGATAAGGGAATGAAATCTTACTTATATTCCCTAACTACACTGGCAGATTGCTATAGAGCAAGGGTCTTCAAACTTGGCAAGTTTAAGACTTGTGGACTTCAACTCCCAGAATTCCTGAGCTAACGTGACTGGTGAAGGAATTCTAGGAGTTGAAGTCCACAAGTCTTAAAGCTGTCAAGGATGAAGACTCCTGCTATAGAGCAACCCTGTTTAGAGTAGTCAGCTTTCTTTAGGGAGAAGATATAGAACTTTTGACTTATTGTAGTGACACAGAAGTCATTATTTTTATACTTATATTCATGTTTCTAGATCAGGGATCTCCAACCTTGGCAACTTTAAGACTTGTGGACTTCAACTCCCAGAATTCCGCAGCCAGCAAAGCAAGGAAGGCTGAGGAATTCTGGGAGTTGAAGTCCACAAGTCTTAAAGTTGCTAAGGTTGGAGACCCCTGTTCTAGATCATCCATCTCCCTCAAGAAGGGGCTCTGCAAACAAACTTGGGATTCTTTCTAGTTGATGGACTTTGATAAAGTGCACTAGGATTTGTTGTCTGCCCCTCCTGACCTCATTGGAAAGACAGAAGGAGTTAGAGAGATTGGATCTGGTAACCGACATCTCACTTTGAAAGGGGAAGTAACCAGCAACTTTGAAAGAGACTATGATGTCCCACATCTTAAAGATGCCTCTCTGGATCAATCTGGATTATCAATTTTTTATCTTTCCCTACAATGGCAATGCATCATATAAGAAACAGATTATTTATTCGGGACACTTATCTGAACATGGAATGGAGATGGCATTGGTTGCTGTTGTAGATTATTGTAACTTGGTATAGGGTAGTGTCCATCCTAGTCATTTTGGGCCACTCAGGGGTCGTGGTGCTCATCAGCCAATAGGTTGTTCAGTTGAGGGCTGTTATAGGATTCCTCTAATTCCAGGCCATTTCCGCTGTTTAATATTGATATGAAACTGTTGGAGGAGGTAATTTGTTGGTTCAGTGTATTGTATTAACACTCTTTCATCCTTTATCTGGAGGTTGTATTTGGATGAGATGAAAGGGACTGAACACAAACAAAATAGCTGTTTATTACTTAAGGTTCCTTTGCATCTCTGGTGTCATCTATCAATGGAGTGACATTGGCCCTAAGAGAGGAATCCCATGACTGAGAATTTCTCCTGTTCTCACAGTACCGGAAAAGCTAATAAAAGTCAATAGGTTGGGGGGAGGGCTATCTTCACTTGTACACCTGTTGTGGCCCAGCCTCACAATAATTCAACATTTCATCATCTTCATGTAGTACTTGACTTACAACCAATTGCTCAAAGACCATTTGAAATTCTGACAGGCCCAGCATAAAGGGTCTGATTTCTCTCTTTCCTAAGAGAAAAGCCACCATGAGCCACAAAATGAGTGAGCATCAGATACATTTATTTCACTTTTATTGAATACAAGAACAGTGAGCACACACGCATACATCACCAAGCACTGAAAGAGGATATGATCGAAAAGGATGGGACAAAAATTGAAATGGGTGGAGGGGTCAGAAGGACAGAAGAATTAATGAATGAATGACAGCATTTCAGTTGGTTAAGGTGCTTCTCAAATTAAAAAATAATTATGAATCTTTTTAATTCATGCAGTTGCAGGCCAGTTTTAGAATCAAGTTGCGGGATTTGTTGCAAACAAGCAGTTCTGTTGACCGTCTCTTTCAATGGAAAGACCCCTTCACCCAAAGAAAGAAAAGAGTGACCAACTTTATCAGATGGCAGCAGAAGGTGTAAGAAACCATGATCTTAAAAGTGTGCATGGCTTCAACTTTACCACAAATTTTATATATATATATCTCAATATAGATATCTATATATAAGCCACATCTTGCTAGGTAAACAAAAAGCTAGTTTTTGTTAATGGCTACCCATCAGTCATGCTGTGGGAGAAATCCAAATCTACTGTAGCTTTCCTTTACGGTACTTGACAAGAGTTAAATTCTGGTCTTTTATAAATGGGTTTTGAAGCAATTTGTTTCCACAGGTTTTAGTGGCAGACTCATGTATACCAATTCATATAGAAGAAGCAATAGGATGTACTTTATATATACCTAATTTCTGAGCTTTGTTTTAAAATTAAAAATGAAATTTTTGTGGGGAAAATTCCTTTTTTTGTAACGTTGAGAAAAATACATGATAATGTCATCAAGATTTTTGTTCTGTTTTTGAAATCAGCAGAACAAGATTTTTGTTTTCTACATATTTTATGAGTTTCTAAATTTTTTGGTGTTTTGGTTTTAGGGCATCACATATTCCAAAAGAATAAAAGGAAACAAAAAATCCTCAAAAAATCTAAAGGAGAAAATCGCTTGGATACATGAAAATTAGAAATGACTCTTACAGCATAAAGTTTACATCTATGCTTTCAGTGTTTAATTAGGACATTCCTACATGCCAGAAACATCCAATTTTAAGGAGCCATACTAACAGCCAATGGCCCAGTGTCTCCCACAATGGCAAACAATTTATGATATAAGATACATCCATGTTACTCCAATGATTTCCCATTTTTATTTATATTTCCAATTAGAGATAAAAGATGTCATTATCAGATTCACAAATGTAAAAGGAAAAGTATAAACTTTCATTTAGATTTGTCTCATTTGTTTCTGCTTTAATTACTCTTGAGGTAATGAAAAGTGGTAAAGGACAATGTCTAGGTTTCATTAATGGCAAAGCAGTTTTATTAATAATATCCTTACTCCCAAGCAGTATTTGCTTTTAGTAGTTTGGTTTTCTAAGCTTCACAACTTACTGTGGCAGATGAATGCATCTTTAAGAAACCCATGAATAAATCCTGTTCTGATATAGAATCATATTTAAAGAAGGCAGAGGTGCTCTTTCTCCCTGATGGATATGGTCTCCAAAATTTAAATCTGACAAAATGAAACTGCACTGGAGTAGGACAGGACAGTCTCTTTGGCAGATTCTGACTTGCATGGATCAGAAATGAGCCACGTAGGTTTGGAACCAAACTTTCAAATTTTGAAAAACTGACATGGCAAATACAGTTACTTTGCCCTAAATAAACACTTTGATCTGAAAGACTGCTAAATAAAAGGCCTTGAACAATGAAGCAATCTGACCTCATTCTGTGTGGTGACTTTGTACTCCTCCTAAGCCTGGAGGATGAAGAGACACTGTTAATTGGCACATTTGAGGCATTCTAATTGGGCTGGAGTAACACTGATCTGTTTTGTTGTCTTTGACTCCTTTCATACTGTTGTTTGTCTTAACCAGTGACAATCACAATTGTGTCACCAAATTCAAGTGAGAGACAGCTTCCTCAAATTCCTTTTTTTTTTTTTTCCTATTCTTAGTTTCATGGGATACTGGCATAATCTAAACGTCTTGTAATACATTAACCATTATCAATCGAATAATAACGTGAAAATGTCATTGTCACACTTAGCACTGTTTGTTTTAATATCATTCCCCACCCTCCCCAGTTATATATAATATCCATAACTTAAAAGCACATCAATATGAAATCTCTACAGGCTGCATTTTGTTTGGTGAGAAATCATATACATATCATTTTCCTTTGCTTTAAGTGAAATAAAGTCATAATTATCTTCAGCAGAATAAGACATTAGATGAGAAGAGGAAACATTTAAAAAAAAAGGAAGGACCAATTGGGGAAAATAAAAGAATCCAATGATGAAGCAACAAAAGTAGCATGGCGTGAAAATAAAGGATGATCACTGCACATCCCAAATTATAAAATAATAAACAGAAATTATACAAGTGAATGGATTTTAATTCTTTCCTATCAGGGAATCATTTTGTAATTCTGCTTGTTTTGCTAGTTGATTTCTTGCTTTGTTGCAAAGCATTTTTGCTTTTCCATTCAGTGTGCAACAAATGAATTATGTGTTCTTTAAATGTAACATGCACAATGGTGGTTTATTGTATTATTAATATTATTACCATCATGATTTTTTTAGATCAGTTCAGTCAATTCTTCAATTTATTTGAAGAGGTGGTTGGTTTTGCTTGTTGCTGATGTTGCTGTTTTATTCATCTCCAGCATATAGCAGCAGTGCAAGGATGCATTTTGTTTCCTGTATATATAATATATAATATATTTGCTATTCCTTTTTATTTAATATTTTGTCTCTCAACATTATTCTTGCAGCCAGGACGTTCTATGTCTCAGTGAGGAATCCAGCATAAAGGCCCCTTCTTTACTTCAGTTAAAATAGATGCCAACTTCTAGAAATACAAAGGTCAAGATTCCTATACAAGAAGGAAAATAAGCACATAAATCAGTAAATACGTCTATCCTTTATCAATATAATACTACAAGCTTGTTTGACTTTTGCAATTTAATATTTTATAACAGCTTCAGCTATTTTAACAAGACTATATTGTATAACGTATGAAGTTCTTGCATATTATAGAGCATCCTAGAATCTATTTTGGGATGTCCCTCCATTAGTACAGAGTACCATTTACTCTAATTGCTTTACTGTGTGAAGCCCATAGAAAACATCAGTATGGCAATTCATCCATTAGGACCAGTGTTTCCAAGCAAAAACTTCTGGTCCGCATTGAAAATGGCAAGGTTCTTAGCCAATTCTCATTCTTTTGCATTAACTCATGCTTATCCCTAGTTATAAACCTGAGTCAAGATATGGCACAGCTCACAAATTTAACTTACTACAATCAAGATAATTCTTCAAAACAAATAGCATCAGCCACATATAGTTTTGTTTAATTAGCCATTTTTGAGAGAGCTCACTATTATCTCACTAGAAGGGATACTCATTTTGAAAACTACAATTTTTGTATATCAGTTACTATTTTACAATGATTTGGCTTGTAAGAATCCTATTTCTCCACGCTTTCACCACATTTATACCCACCTGAGGCTTCTTGTCCTTTTCTTCTGGAGATGGGTCTGTTTCTCTATATACTACAGCTTTGGTTACCAGCATATCAGGATGCTGCAATTTTGCCTCCTTGATGGCTAAAGCCAAAGCCTACAGAAAGAAAACAATTCACATTCAGTACTATTTCACTTACATCATTGGAGGCCAACCTTTGGCTCATGAGTAGTCTAATTTCTGGGTTTTGCGAGTTTTCTTCCTCAAATTTTGGTAAATCTTTTAAATTTGGCTAAGGCAGAAGAAGAAACAAATGTTTCTTGGCAATTTTAAAAATGCATTTTTAAAAAGCCTATGGGTTTTAATCTAGGCATACCCATTTTTTTTCCTTTCACGATGCCCACATTCCTTCTGGCCCCCAAATCATTCTACAGTTCCAAATGCAGCTTCAGTCCTCCCAAAATGTGTACATTTAAGAACAAGTGGAAATAATTTAAATAAAGAATAAGTAAAGTAACACAAATTTATATCTATGAATGTCAAAATCACTATCTCTTTCACATGGATATTCCTAACTATCAATAAGCACAGCTTTACATTGTACTGCAGTTTATACTGCAGCTCACAGAGCCCAATATTTCCCCCCTCTCTTTCATGATATTGTGAATTAGGTCTACATACCATAAGTATATCTAAATTATGCAAATATATTTATACTGTTATCTCTGTGTCTATGTGACTAGAACTGGAGGAAATAGTAGTTCTCTTAAAGTATTTGCATGCATATGTAAAAGCTGGAATATGGGATACAAGATCTGAACTTTCACATGTTCAAGCAGAAGAGTGCTGAATCTTGTTATAATAAACATCCCCGAATGTGCAGAGAGCTATGTGTTTGCATAAAAGCATGATCAATACAACATCAGTTCTTCAAGATAAATGTACGTTAGATATGGTAAAGGGCAAGATAAATTTTTAGATGAGTACCTGAGCAGGCATGAGCAAGGCAAGATTTGGGGATTGTGATCTTCCTAACCATTGTGTATCAAGGTTGCATGCAATAACTGTCAGGAATTCAATGCACACACAGGAATTCTAGGACTTGACCTGATTATCCAAATTTCCATTTATTTATTTTTTGCAGTTATAGAAAAAAACTAAATAAGCTAAAACAGCTTCTACCATACTAAAGACTCCAATAATAGATGGGCATATTGCTGGATTTCAGTTCAGCAGTTAGAGGCCTCTTTCTCAAGCTTCTTATGGCCACCATACACAGCTTTCTCCCTTCCTGCCTTCCTATCTTGAACCATGACACCTCCGTAAATAAAAAGGAAAAGTGTTTTGTTCAACTTCCTAACTAAAAGCTTCCATTCATACTTGGTCTTGATCCACATCTTCATCTCCCGTTATGATGATTCGCTTTTCTATTCTGGTTTCAGAAAATCCTCCTTTCACAGTCTGGAATAAAGAAGAAAATAAATACTTAGCATTATATTGTAAATCTCATGTCTAAAACTGTTTTGAATGATAGCTTTTGCTTTACTGGGGCACCAGAACTAAGCTTTGCTTAGTCATGGTTTGTTGAAAATCAACAATTGGCTACTTCAGGCAACATACTGTGGCATTAAAAATTACAATGCCTAACAAGATAGATTATGATTTAGACTGAAATGTATGACAATTATTACTTACGAGTAAAAAAATAAGCTACATTTAATTATAGGAGAGTATTAGATAACTTGTGACCCACTGGATCATCCTTTTAAAGACATTTCCTTAACCTAAACAGAAAAAACAGAATGACGAAAACAACAAAAATTGAAACAAAGCCAAGAACAACTTTTAATTTCCTGCTGGCAGCCAGTGGTAGGAGTGCTCTACTCAGCCTCTGAAGGGCTAGGGTGGGAGTTGTCTGCCCAATCTCCAATAGCCAATGGAGCAGCCAGCCTACCCAGTCTCAGAGGACTATGGGTGGGTCAGTCTACTGAATCACAAGGTAGAGGCCCAGCAGCATGAAAGCACTGAAGTCATCATCAACTTGCCAAATTTCAATCCCAAGGAAACTGGATTTTGGACATACTCTGTAAAATAGCCCATTTGAGATACATTGGTTCAAAAACTGTTGCCCTATGATGCCCAGTTTTGCCCTATTAAAGGTTACAGACACACAAATTTTAATAATATATAGATAGATGTGATGTTTAGAGAGGTACAATGTGCCTCTTATCTAGAATAAATATTTTCCCAGTTCCTTCACGGGAAGTGTGGTGTAAGTCTGGGCACGAATAAGCTGATATTCTGTGCTCTTTCATTGATCTTACCTTGGTAACATGGGTCGTTGTGGAGGTGGAGAGGGTTTCTGCAGTGGCACCAAAAAGGCTGGTGAAGGCTTCTTTGCCAACAGCACCACTGGTAATCTATAAACATGTGCAAAACATGATCCACATCAACAGATTTACAGTTCCTCCAAAACAGAAGTTATAGGCATGGGCTTATGCTATGAACCCTGATACTCGGCTTTTTCTAAGACAGTTGTGAAGAGAAAGTTTATATTGCTCCAAAGAAGATCATAATCAAATTTTTGAGGGCTAATAAATTGGACCTCTTACAGACTGTTTACTTTAAATCAACTTAGTTCCGAGAAATTTGTTTTTGAAAATTTTGCAAAATCAAACAATCATCTTAACAATGTGTTCAGCTTAAGCATTTCTTATTTGACCCAGGTACAACTACAGTTTCTGAAGTTCTACAGCACTTAGAAGTTTTGAAACAATTGCCTACATCTTCTAAGGCAGTAATTATCCTTTATAAGGAATTGAAAAAAGCAGCAAAATTGATATTACTTATTTACATGTGCTTTGAAATACAGCTTGACTATCCTTCTCTGGTAAATCATTGGGGAGGGGAGATGTGCATTAAACTGCCAATTTACCCAGTTGTTTCATGTAAATGTTAAATAGGAGTGGACAAAGAGATGAGATGTCAGGTACTTCATATAGAAGGGACCTTGATTTAGACTTCATTCCTGCTACCAATACTGACTGGAACAACTATAGAAAGGGAGTAATTATTGCAAAACAGTGCCTCCCCTCCAAACTCCTAAACCTGTCCAGAAGGAAACCAAAACTGTTGATATCAAAAACTGAGACATACAGGAAGGACACCCCGCATTCTGGTCCCTCCAAAGATCATGCACAAGTATGACTAATACCACTTCAGTGCCATAACCCAGCCTGAATCTTGACTGAAAAGTATCACGATAAGGGTCCCAGGAAAAGGTCCAGAATCACATTAGTCACACTTAATGGTATCTGAATAATAATAATATGTTATTTCCTATGTACTTAATCATTCCAGGCTGAAATGTGAATGTTCCTACTACAGTTATGTATTCTTTCAGGTCCAGTGAAGAATTATCTATCAGATCTACTATTTCTGTTTCAGATTCTTTTGTGTCTTGTAATTTTATTACTGATTTAGGAAACAAGGATGGGACAGTTCCTCAGAAAATATGAACAATGACTTACTGGAGAAATGGATCGAAGGTCTGCAGTGCCTTTTGTAGGTTTGGTACTGTGATCCTGGAAAAAAAATATTTACACTGCAGCTTATGTTTATGGATCTAATCAGACAAGGGAGGATAGATGCTCAAAGACATAAGGAAAAACCGTAAGTTTCATCCACTAATTTGTTCTGGGAAATAAAAATACTTATTCTAAAGTATAATCTACTGTATCCTGAAAGCCAACAGGTGAGCAAATGTATCATTAGGTGGGATTTAGGGTTTGTAATTCCTAACATTTTAATATTACTCAAAAGATTTAAGGAGTTCCCAACATGTTTTGCATCTCTTATGTGATTATAGTCAAACTAGGAATAATCCAGTGCTCATTTTTTAATTAACATATATCTCATATATTTTATGTCACACTTTAGCAAAAGAATTTGGACTCACTCAAATCCCTTAAGGGCCTATGTGAGAGATGGCCAGAGTTGTCAAACACCTAGAGTCATCTCTTATGAATATAAGGACCCCAGTCAAGATTAACTGAAAGGGGAAGGAACTGGAAAAAGAGCACGATCTTTCATTTTTGCCTCCCCTTTGTTATTAAATATCAGCCAAGAATGATGGTGGCTACAAGTGGCCAAGAGAGTTGGAAAAGGGCTAAGTGCAGAAAGTCTCCAAATGGAATTGAGATGCAGTTGAAGTGATTGCTGATAGCAAAGATAAACAAGAGAGTCCCACATCCACCCAGGATCACAGAGGCTCTCAACTGAGAATGCTGCAATGCTGACAAATGGCCAGGCACTAATGAGTTCCATGTGAATAACTTACTGAGGTTGTAGATATAGTTTCTGGGCTGACAGTGTGGAAAGTGGTTACTGCCTCTTTTCCATCAGTAGTGGTACCATCAACCTGAAAAATGAAACAGTAAAAATCAACAAAAGTACAGCTGTTAAATGCACATTCCATTTAATTCTACACAAATTAACAAAATATATTCATATAAGATAGTAAATTACTTCAATTTAGTCTCCTATTCATATAATATTTTAAAACTTGATTATAGATTGAACATTTCATGTCTCAGACATGCATTTAGAAACAACAACAAACTGTGAGTATATCACTAGAATACATAAATTATTTTTCCACTAGCAATTTCTTCCCCAACCCCCCAAAAACTTTAACCTTAAACTGTCTATTGTTGACCTCACCCCTTTCCTAAGAGGTCTGTAGGGGGTGTGCATAAGTGCACTAACGTGCCTACCATCCCTCTCCTAATGTTTCTTTTTATTTGTATCCATTTCATGTATCATGAAATGGATCATGTCTATACTTATAATACCTGTTATCTAATACTTGCTTGACAAATAAATAAATAAAATAAATAAAATTTTAGTGGGCTGTTTTTCCTATGGATTTATGAAACACATTTGTGCTTCGTTTAAAGCAGAAATTTATATGTGCAATAAAGTAATAATTGTAAGTTACCTGTGTAATTTCTGTTGTACCAATTCTGTGTTGCACAGAGCTGTCTGCTTCCACTTTCTTTACCATTTCTGATTTCAGATTGAAGGACTATCAAAGAGATTTTAAAAAAGGACGACAATCCAAATATTATTAATTAAAGACAGATATGGCTGTTTTGTGAACAGTCCTTTTCCTGTCCAAAAATGTGCATTTTTAATTCTTATTTTGTCAAATATCATGGTTAATAAATTAATTCTTGCCTATTTAAGCTCAAGAATATTATCTCAGAGCACATATTGATAATAAAAGACTGACTGAAAGTGTATAAACTATATCATATGTTATTTCTATAAAGATTATAATCTGGAAAAATGGAATTAAAATTCAAATTGGCAAGAAAGCAAAGAACTCCAACGATTTGTTGTTGAGAGAATAATTTTTGAATCCTGTTTTTGAATATAATCTATTCATTTCAAATGCAATTTCACTAACTATGATAACAAAGATTAAGTCAGTTTTGCTCTTATAAATCCATGGCATTTGCCTAAATTTAGAATTTTAAATTGTTTCCCCTTTACGTTTTCTTCCATTTTTGACCTTTGTTTTAATCAATTTGGAAAGACAATTATTTTAACAGTACAGTATCTGCTTTTTGATTTAGAGAATCAGAGTAGCCAATTGTCATTTGATTTAACTATGATGCTCATTTTTAGTTACATTATGTGTAAATACCAAGCATATTTAATACACATATTATTTGTTGAATTCATGCAACAAAGAGAATACACAAATACAATACACCCAATACAATGGAGCAGCCAGGCAAATGCAGTGGGTTAAAGTGTGATGTAACTTCATGATTAAAGGAATTACAAATGCCCTCAAGAGGACAAACATGCATTTGAACGTCAGAAACAATCATGCAGACAAGACAGTCACATTTATGAAGGTAAAATGTTTTAAAGGGCTATTAAGAAGTGGGCATGTTCTTCCAAATATGAGATGGACACCTGATCAAGCGGTGCAAATGCCAAGACAGACATTACTGAAATGAAGACATTTAGACACATCTGTGTATTATGTCTTCTTTTGTACCTCTTCTGGGGTTACATGATAAACCTTTTCTTCATCCATTGCATCACCATCTTCCTTGGGAGCTGGTCTGTCAGATTCCTCAGTAGAAATCTGACCTTCTGCTTCTCCCTCACTCTTTTCCTTATCAAGCTCAGGGAGACTCCGTGAAAAATCTTCAAAGGCTGCACTTTGGTAGTCACCAATGACAGTGAAGTCCACCTCAGCCTCAAGGCTGGAAGTTGAGCTGACAGTAATGCTGGAGCACTTGCGCTCGATGGCCAAATGGTTGTCTTTCAGGAAGACCGAGTCTCTCTCCTGGTCCTGGTCTTCATCCCCGGTATCACTTTCAGGAGCCCTGTGCCGAGGCAGCTTAGATTTCTCCTCTGTGCCCTCCCTCAATCCCGCTCTCTGAATGAGACAAAAGGAAGGAAAGAAGCTAAGGCTCTAAGCACTGAATGGCAGATGGTAGCTATCAGAAGCAATGAACAGGGAAAGAAACAGTGAAAAGAAGCATCAAATAAAGGGTGTCAAACACATCCCAAAAATGATCACCAAAACTCGTCTCACAGCAAATTCTCTACAGGGACGAGGCAAGGTTAAAAAAGATTGTTTTGTTCTACTTACAAAATTGCCAGGAAAGAAATAAAATCGTGATTTTGAAAATATCAATCCAGATAAATGATTGGATATTTTATACGAAGAAGAGGTGTGTGCAAAAGAGCAAACGTTGTAAGATGTTTAAAAAAGAAACTCAGATGCTCACTGGTTGTTAGGAGAGAGTAGAAAACATTCAAAAGGAGGGGAAAAGAAGGAAAGAAGTAATAGGGGAAAAAAGTTTAAACAAAGAAGGTGAAATCTTTGCACATATTGCAGGAAAAAGCATTTGTCAATTTCACTGAGATCAAGTCAACATGATTTTTTCTCTGGGCCTTTATTATTTATACCTCACTTTAGTTTTTACAAGGGCTATCTGTCCCAAAACAACATAACATTTGGATGAAAAGGGCTTGTGTTGTTGAGTGGCTCTCATCGTGTGGCTGAGAAGCCATCTGAGGAAGCATGTTTTTGTGTTCTCCTAGCAGGATTTTAATCAGTGTAATTGACAAGAAAAATCAGAACAAAAGAAATGTCTCTTAGCTCTTCTTTGAGGGCTACACATATACCTCTCAACTGCATTACAGTTTTTACTCAGTCTGGCCCAATGGTTGTTTTTCAGCATAATATTAAAATATCATAGAATTATTTACTCACAGAAAAATCTGTTAGGTCCTAAGCCAAAAGTAATTTAAATCAATGAATAGGAGCCCTACTGAAATAAATATTACCTTTTGTCCAGATTCTGGCATGTTCAGAGGTATGAGAAAAGGTAATTGAAACACAGATAGGAATATATTTATATATATTTATATATACAAGAATCAAATATATCTACATAAATAAATATATATAATTATATAAGTATATATATAGCAGCTCAGTAAGCAAGGAGAAGGGGTGGTGGTGCATGGCTCACCATCACTTAGGTTGAGCTTTTACACCACAAACACAAGCAGTTAGTAAAACAGCACTGAGACCTGAAGGGCCACTGGAGGAGCAGCCTTTAAACTCTCTTCTTTTGGAAAGGCTTTTACTGATAGGCCTGACAAATCCTTTTCTTCCCAAGTTGGTTCTTGAAATTTGCTCTAGATTAGAGAAAAGGGATTAGTTTTATGAAGCAGAAAGGAGTTTGACTATTGCTTTACTGGACCAATGTGAAGCTCTTTGGTCTGTCAGCCAGCCACTAGCTTGTTAAGAGCAGAAAGAGAAGGAAAGTTCACAAGCCAAGCCAGAAAGGGGATCAACATTAAAAAGATGCAAAGAGGAAGAAGCTGGAAGCATGAGAATGTGGCTGCTAGGGGTATGCATGGGGGTATGATTAAGGTATAAAGCTCTAGACATGTCATCCCCTCCCATCCTACCATTCAGCAATTCCATTCATAGTACTCTTGCCTAGTTTCAAGTTAGCAGCTGACATTCTCTAGGTAGCCAAATCTTTAGACGTTTTCTCCCTTTCTCTCCCTCTCTCTCACACACAGAAACACTTCAAAAGCTGATGAGCTGCCTGGGCCAGGAGGTTTGCATTCAGTAACTGAGCCAGGTCACACACACATACAGAAAGGACAAGGGATGCAAGCAGCAGTTTTCAGTCAATGGCCATGTTTAAAGCCATGGCACATGATGCATAAAGACGTGTCACACAACATGCTTTATGAACTTTCCAGTGGGACAGTTCATGTGGGAGTTACCACAGCTTCTGCCAAAGTGATTTCACAGCCAGAATCAGGAGAAGCCAGTTCAGCTTCTCTTTCTCCTTCTTGCTCAGATCCAAGGGAAATATCTTCCTTCCAAGATGACAGCTGAGATGGTTCTCCCTCACTTGTTCCTTGATTTTCAGCTTGGTAGACTGTGTCTGATGTTTCTCCAGGGTGTTTTGTTTTGCCATCTGAAGGTTGCAAAGCCACTATTAATTTGGCACAGTTGTTTTCTAAAAATGTATCTTTGTGTAGTTCTAGTTTTGATGAATCTTTTGGTATCTCACTGCCTGGACAACTATCATGGAACCCTGTTAAGGCAACATCTGGTTCATCAGAAAGTAAGCTGTACATTTCACCTTGTTCAAACATCCTAATTTTAGAAGCTATGGAGTTTTCTTTATTTGTTGCACTTTTATGCTCAACGAAACCCTTTGCACTCTCTGTGGATGAATCTGCATCCTTATGCTTTTGAGATGAAGCTGTACTATACTCTATGACCTTGAGTTGTTCCAGATTGGGTTTTTGTTTATTATGTGTAGTTTGCACAGGTTTCGGGTCCTGCTTTATAGCATGAGGAGGTTGTGAACATTCTTTGTTCCATTCAGGTGACCCAGTCTTAACAGACTGTGTAGTGTCAAGTTCTTCTTTTAAAAAAAAATGACCTTCCAATTCTGAAGGTTTAGAACCAACTACAGAGGCAGACTTTAATATTTTATCCCTAGATGGCTGCTTCGAGCCAGAGGTTGTACCCTGAATTACTTCATCTAGATTTAAAACGATATCCTCTGACTTTGCAGTATTATCTCTGGTCAGCTCATCCATTTCACAGAGCTTATCTTTAGCTAAGTCCTTCCATTCTGAAATATTATTCTTAGCCACCTCTTCTAATTTTGGGAGTTCAGCCGATTCTTGGAATTTATATTTAGCCATTCCATTTAATTCATGAGGCTTGTTTCTGTCATGCTCTGACATATTACGTGAATTTGATGGTTTATTTTTAGTTGAATCTTCTGACAGGGTAGACTTATCTTTTACTATCTGATCCTGTTCACTAGAATTAACGGAGGCTCCACTTTCCATTTGTTGTTTGTTTATGGCTGAACTGTTCAATTCAATACTTTCATTTTTGGCTAATAGCTCTGAGTCAGGAAGTTCATCTTTGGTGGAATCTTCAGATCTAATATATTTATTTTGGACTAGTTCCTGACCTTCTGATAATTTGTCCTGAAGAGGCCAGCTTGAATCATGAGTCTTTTCTTGGGCTGATTTTTTGGTTTTTGCATCTTGTGATGTATGTGAATCTCTAGCTGAAATTTTTGTAGAAGAGAAAAGCTGGTGTTGCGAGGAATTCATGGTGGAGTCCATACATTCTTTGGCTTCCATTTGAAGAAGTATTTGAGTAGCTTCCATTTCTTCTAACTTATTTCTTTTGCTTTGATTTTCTGAAGTTTTTCTGTTGCTTTGGTATTCTGAAATTTTTGATATCATGCTCTGTGTTCCTATGGCAGTATCAGCCTCCTTCTTATCATATTCTTTTTTCCCTTCTGGAAGACTGCTGTTATATGTTTCATCAACTCCTTTTTTATGCTCGTAAGAAGGATAAGCTGTTGCCTCTTTTGTGGAGGGTCCAGATTGTAACTGAGGCACTGATAATGGGATTATGGAATCCCTTTCATAGGCTTCATCTGTCGAAGAATATGCACTGCATTCCTGATCATCTTTGATTCCATACTCATTTGACTCTACAGGAAGACCTTCCCCTGGAATTGATGAATGAACTTCTTTTTCATTGGAAGATTGCTTAACAGAAAGTATGTTTTTGTCATCTGCAGTCTCGGACTGCTCTGACTGAAGAATTGTTTTGCTGATGTCTAACATTTCTTCACAATATGTGGGTAAGGGGAATGGAAGCACATTTTCTCCCTCTTTTTTTTCTATAACTGGGGCAAGACTAATGCAATTCTGTTCTTCTATTTGGTTTTCTTGCTTCGTTTCAAAGGCACAATTCTTTTTTTGGTCAAGTATTTCCTTGGTCTCATTTTTTGTTTCATCTGTTTCTTCAGAACCCAAATAGATAATCCGTTCAGCAGCAGAAGATGCTGTCTTATCACTTAGTTTCACCTTAGTTTTAACTGAGTCAGAATCTGAGGTATCCTGAAGAACTTTTTCTGATAATTTCAAAGAAGTCCTATGTTCGCTTATTATAATTCTGTTTTCTTTTTTTGGAGACTCTGGATGAAAAGAGGCACATATTGGTCCGTCTTTAGATTGGAGCAGGCCAGTATGTTGCATATTTTCAGTGGAGGCTAGCACCACATCTTTTATTTTGTCTTTTTGTTCTTCTTTCTTCTCAGGTTCACAAGAACCAAATAGTGCTGTCTCTATTTTATTGCTTTTCTCTTCTCTTTCCCCACTAAGGTTTTCTGTCTCCGAAGATTTCTTTCTGTAATCTTTCTCATTCTTATCATCATCCCATAATGATTCAAAATCTTCTGGACTGGCTATCATTTTGGCTTTTCTGTGAACTTTTATTTTGCTTTCCTCATTTCCTTTCACCTCTTGCTTTGTCGCTGCCTTGGTTACCCTTACTGCAGTGGGCTCTTTTGAGAAGTCCAAATCTGTTTGCTTTCCTGAGGCACCTGCACTTGATTCTTCCTTCTGGGTCTTAATAATTTGTTTTAGTGCTAGCTCTTCCAGCCCAGAAGTTCCTCTTTCTATAATTACCCAATGCTCTGAACCCTGCATTGTAATTGGAGCAAGAAAAATTAGCATTAAACATAAATTACTCAAATAGATGATAATTAAATAGATAACAAAGATCCTGATACAACATCCATGCACTATTGTACAGGAAATGACTACATAAATCTTTCCTTTATCAACTTGATGTTGACATCCCAAAGCTGAGATCAATTGAGAATTAAATTTTAACAGGTACATTCTCTCCTTTTCTAGTCGCCAACATCTGAAAATAAGCCTAACATCACTGTTAACAGTATAATTTGATTATTGTAATTTAAAACAAGCATTTTTGACCAGTTGTGCACTGATATTTTGAATTAAATGATCTCAGAGTACTCTGGTAAGTTTTCTGGATACATGTTTTTAATGAGAAATGAAGAAGAGTCAGGTTTTGGAAATGAACAACAGTACTTTTATAGCTGCTTTGCATTCTGTTGAAGTTGTATATGGTTTCAAATTATTTGATTGTCTAAGAGATACATAGGAGTTTTTGAAAGGAGGTTTTTAATTATAAGTATGCTTACAGCAGAATTTTCTAATTATATATGTGTGAGTGTGTATGTGTGTTTTGTGTGTGTGTGTGTGTGTGTTTTCTTAAGTTTTCGTGGGTACTTACATGTTGGTATTCAGCTTTGTTCGGGTATCTTCCCACATCATCATAGTTGTGCTTTTAAAGTTGTAGCAATGTTTCAGCAAAATCTCATCTGCCATCATCAGGCTTCTGTATTGTGTTCATCTGTAAGTCAGACTTTCACTGAAACAGCTGTGAAAGTCTGACTCACAGACAAATACAATACAGAAGCCTGATGATGCCAGATGAGATTCTGCCGAAACGTTGCTACAACTTTAAAAGCACAACTATAATGACATGGGGAAATAACCAAACAAAGCTGAATGCCATATATATATATATATAAATATATATATCTCTGTGTGTGTGTGTGTATACACACACACACACACACATTTATGCATCCACTTCCAATAGTATGATATACCCAAATGCTGTAAATCAATTATAGTTTAATTATTTGAATATCAAAGTTTGAATATAGTAGAGAATCATTAATATTTAGCATCAATTTAATTATAACAGTTTCTTTTTTACACTGTTACTTTAATATGAACACCAAGTCTTTTTATATGCATATCCTAATCTTATTTGGAGTGGCACTAGATTTGGCTCATAAATAACAGAAAATAAATAAAAATATAAAATAACTGGAATAGGTTAATTATATTTAAGTTAAGCCCCATTTAAATTATATACTGAGTAAACAGATCTACTTAAAGTATAACAGTCATCTGATGTGTTTCTGGATTTCTCCAGAGGCTTCTTTGTACATTGTTTTCAAAGCAACTGTGCAAACCTATAGGAAATTATCAGATCAAAGAGAATCCCTTTAATCTACTGAATAAAAAGCAAAATTTTAAAATGAAAACATTTTGAAAAATTGCACTAAAATAAGCAAATAAAATGGAAGATGGTATTTTGCAAAACTAAAATTATATACAGTATCACAATTAGAGCTTCACATGATATTCCACTTCACTGAGAAAATCTGAATAAAATCAAATTATACCAAGCAAATTTATATCCAAACCAGTTCAGTTCAGGGGAAAAAAAGACTGGCTTAGAATTACGAAGACAAAATTAAGAAAGAAAGTAAAAACTATATACCTATCCTTTTTTGCTTAAGAAACTAAAGCGTACATCATACCAGTAAGAAGCCTGGAATATTTAACATGAAAGAAACAGTGCCAATCTGCTTGGATCAATGTTTCTCAACCTCTGCAACTTCAAACTTGATAGCTTTAAGACTTGTGGACTTCAACTCCCAGAATTCCTCCTCCAGTCATGTTAACCCAAGAATTCTGGGAGTTGAAGTCCACAAGTCTTAAACTTGCCAAGTTTGAAGACTCTTGGCTTAAATAATAATGATGTTTAGTTATTGGATGCTTTATTTAGACCCATTACCACCATAGCACACTCAGCTAAAACTAAATCATCTCTATGTAACAAACATGTGCAAAGAGCAAATACTGAGAATAATGGTAGAAGAATGAAGAATAACAGAGAATTAGATTGTTACTCTTATGTACTTCATTTTATAATGATAATACTAGCATGCATTCTTTACTAGTTAAAATATTTTTATCTGCTTAAAAATGTTATTGATGATTAATACGTAAGATGAAAACTGCAATAATATGATCTTGTAGGCAGCATCACAAATGCCTATATTTTGCAAATCTTCCAACTGTAATTCTAATGTCATGTGCTATGCTGAGATATATAACCGACAGCCCAACAGGTACATTATATTACAATTCATTACTGTAAGGAAAGCTTGGCACTCTCATGATTTCATCTGTTAGACACTACTTCTAATATTTATATTAATATTCCTCTAATACTATTTTTAATAATCCTAATCCTAAAACTTCTCCTGATTCTAGTTTCTTTTGCTTCTCTAGAACAATCACAAATAATTGCACATTATGATTCCATAATCCTAATAATTATGATTCCATAATCCTAAGTAGCCACCTATATTTGGCTATGCAGCTATTGTTAATTTTTTTGGCAAAGCAACTTCCTGCCAGCTTCCCACAATCAAAATCAGTGGGGAAACTGGCAGGAAGTTGCAAGCCCCAAGTTGGGCAGGCAGAAAAGTGGCTGCTGCCCAGCGGGGGAGGAGGTGAGGGAGTGATCGGGAAGGTCAGGGAAGGTGTGTGGGAGTGTGTGAGAATCACAGCGCAAGTCAGGAAGGGTGGATGAGACATGCGGCACAGATCAGAGAGGATGCACAAGAATGTGCAAGTGGCTGATGTGGTGCTGAAGACTTACCTCAAGTCACTTGCAACCTTTCCTGCCAGCTGCCCCATTGACTTTCTGGGGAAGCCATGATGAAAGAATTCAAATAGCAATCATATGAGTCCCCGTTGCTGTTGTTAACCAAATTCCACACTCGTTAGGTGAGACAACTTCCTGCTGGTTTCCCACAACCAAAGTCACTTGGGGAAGCCAGCAGGCAAATAAGTGGCAGCTGATGGGTGAGAGAAGGTGAAAGGGCGTGTGTAAGAGGCTTGGTGCAAGTTGGGGAAGGGGCACAAGAGTTCAAAGGAGTGCATGAGAAGTACAATATAGGTCAGGAATGGTGCACAGGGTATGCAAGTGAGGTGGCCAGCATGGTGAGGCAGGGGAGACTTACCCCAGTGACTTCTGACCCTCCCTTTCAGCTTTCCCATTGGCTTTCTGATGAAGCTGACAAGGAAGGTTGCAAATAGTGATCACATGATCCTGGGGTACTGAAACTAGTTGTAAGTGCGAACTGGTTGCCAAGTTCCCAGATCATGATCATGTGACCACAGGGATACTGAGATAGCTGGAATTCCAAAGACTGGTCTTAACCACCATTCGTTCAACATCATCATAACTTTGAATGTTGCTGAACGAATAGGCCTAGGTTGAGGATCTCCTGCAATTAAAAACAAAGTAAATTTAGAGTAAACAGAGTACTTCCTGGACTTGTTACATGGATATGCCCAAATATGAAGTTCATATGAGAATCTGATAAATTATATTACTTGATTTTTACATTTTTAAACATGCATAAGAAGCTACAAATATTACAGAATGATGTACCGAGCTATAAAAATATTATATAAAATATTATCTAATTTTTAAATTCAATTTTGCTTTGCATTATAGCATTTTAGATTAGGCACAAATTAATCTACAGGTAGCCCTCAACGTACGACCACAATGGAGCCCAAAATTTCTATTGCTAAGCATGACAGTTTTTAAGTAAGTTTTGCCCAATTTTACAACCTTTCTTGCCAGAGTTGTAAAGAGAATCACTGCAGATGTTAAGTTAGTAGCAAGGTTGTTGAGTGAATCTGGCTTCCCCAACCCATTGACTTTGTCTTTGTCAGAAAGTCACAAAGGTGGGAGGGGGTCAAATAACCTTGGGACGCTGCAACTAACATAAATATGAATCAGTTGCCAAGCGTCTGAATTTTGATCAAGTGACCATGGGGATGATGCAATGGTCATAATTTTGTGAATTGGTCATAAGTCACTTTCTTCAGTGCTGTTGTAAACTTGAAACAGGCACTAAACAAGTAGTTGTAAATTGAGGATTACCTGTATTTCTATTTGGAGCATGTTTGTACAAATAAGACTATGCAATTATTCTGTGTAAAACCATCCCAAACTTGCATATTTATATACATGTTTTTATATCATTAAATGTTCAGATCTATAATTCGCTACTACATAACCACTGCACCATCTAAACACTGCAAAAATTATTTAAAAACTAAATTATTATCCAAACATTAAATTGATATGTGTGGCCAAGAAATTTCACACAATAATTAATATACATTCCTATCTCTCAGTTGATAGGGATATAACCGTTATTTTCTTCCATATCTCATAACTTTGAGAAAAAACCTTTATACAGATATGTTACTTATCTTTGTTCATATAGAGAAATAAGCTGAGTTATATAATTAAACAGTGTATGTAACTGAAATTGACATTTGTCTTGGGTGAAAGTAGTTAATCAGTCCTAGTAAATTCTAATTAAATAACAGCATTTATATTGGCAGTTCTAAATGATAGTTTGAATTATTGTTGTCTTAATGTACATGCTTAGCTACAATTATGATTTATGAACCACAATCACCAAGTTCTGAAAATATGCTAAGTTAAAACAAAGCACATTCTGACATAATGTGTAAAAACCAAATCAATATCAATGTGCTGTGAAATTTGGTAGGTACTAATTGTTTGAAGGACAGGTTTAATAACAATGACCAGTTTCTTTTCATTTTGGCTTAGTATGATTGAGAATCACTGTAATTTGTGATAGAAGTTCAACAAATCTTGATTTAGCAATGTTTTTGAACAAAACAGATTAAAGCAGTTTAACTGCTTAGTAGTCCATAATGTACTGTAGCTGTTGATTCCACTTCTCTATAATCCAACTTTTGACCACAGTGATGTTATTAAAGCTCAATTTGTTTCTTTGAGAGGTGTGGGGGGAGTGGCATCTTTATGCCATAAACCACAATCAGAACTCACAAAAATTGTCAGTTGCTTACTTTCAATTCTAAGATAGGATGCGATGCTTACAATAGCAGACAGGGAACTAGTTTTCATTATGCTGCTTTTGGAAGTAATTACTGGACCAGACCAGACCACCATATTTCAAAATGTGTGCCATAATGTAACTGCCATGCCACATTTGACAACAGGGGAAATGAAAGAATCTTCTATCTACTCTATATTCCTGTACTTCTTTTTAAGTCTATGCACCAAAATTTTAACCACATCTCTTATTTTTTTTATAACCTACTTGGGTTATAAAAGTGAATGAGACAATATCTATCTGGAAATGTAAGATTTAGCTTTCTTTTGCTAATAGGACAATTCAGAAAACAGAACAGCCTTGCTGTATTGCAGTAAGGCTGTTCACTGCCTCTGCCACCAGATGTCTCAGATTTTATTTGTCTGAATACAACACCACTATAGATATAACACCTCTGTGGTTAAGGATATGAAAAACAAACTGACCAAAATGGATGTCTCCTTGAATGAAAAAAGGTCACAATGTTTGCATGCTTGAAATACTCAAGTGTTTCTAAAGCATTTGTTATATTAATACTTTTGTATTTGGTAGCGTTGGCCAAATTTGAAATAATATTTTATTTCATTTCAGTGCTCTGCAGAATAATTTCCTTTGTTGTGCAGGCTTATACATATCCACAAAGAGCTGCTGTATTCCTTAAAACATATTGGGTATCCTTTTGAATGAAATGCACATGCCATAGCTTTTAATTGTGTCCAGAGATCATCAGTGTGGCAAAAGTTCCTCAGAATTCAGATAATATTTGATAAACCTACACTCACAACTTTTTTCAAAGCAAACTAATCTAGCCTTGCTGAATTAGGTTTTAGTCCTATATTCTATCACAGTGGCCAATCAGATGCCTCTACAGAACCTGCAGGAAGGAAATGGAGGCATACACCTCTCCTTTAGTTTCCCTTCAACTGATATTTGCAGACGTTATGCTATAGACATTATGCTATCCACAATTGAGAAATTAGAAATAGCAAAAAAAACAGGTCCACATAATGTGCAGAGCTCATTACGGATTCTTGTATCTCCATTAACTGGGAAATGAACACAGAACAGTATCACCTTATCTTTCACTGAAGCACATTTTTTTGCCATTTTCAAATACTGGTGAGCTTTCCCGAAACACTGACATCAAATCATTTGGAGATTTAAAACTTCCCATGCTGAATATAATATTTTGTAATAATTCATAACTTTTCTAGCATTCCTAGTAGCTTAGAAACAATAAGATTTTCTTATTTCAGATAAATTCTAAATGAACCCCTGATTCAATGAACTTGGCTCATCAGGTTGATAAACTTGATGATTGATCAACTGCCATGAACAGCACAAGCTTGAACGACAGTAAAAACTGAATCCTATGGACTTCTAAGAGCTCAGCCCTCAGTAAGTGTGAGCAATATAATAGCCTACATCAGGAGTGTCAAACTCCCAGCCTTTGGGCTGGATGCGTTACGCGTTGGCCACGCCCACACCCAGTTTAGCAAAGGGGGGGGGAGTCCAATACATCATGTGAGTTTGACACCCCTGGCCTACATCTACTTCTAGGAAAGGAAACAAAAAGAGAAGCAGATATAGAAAAGAGAGAGAAATTGAAAGAGTGGTGATAACCTCAGGAGAAGAAACAAGGCTTTTCTGTATAAAAGATTCCATGATTAAGGCAGCTCCATGTTCAGATGACAGATCCTCTGGAGAATCCTCTTCTGACATCTACTTCAGCAGGAGAAACCCAAGACCCCCCAGGCAGAGATAGAGACAGAGAAAAGAGACAAGGGAGACACAGAAAAAGAAGCAGTAAATAAAGTATGGAGAATCACTCTATTTCCTGTGCATTTATTCTGACCTAATCCTTTATCTAACTTTTTAGGAAAGGATTCTTTCTTTCAACTTCCATCTTGCCTCTGACAGCAATACAGGTAGTCCTTGACTTACAATCCATTTTTTTTTAGTGACCATTCAAAGTTACAGTGGCACTAAAAAACATGAGTTACAAACCAATCCTCATGCATTCCCAGTCACGTGGTCAAAATTTGGTTGCTTGGAATCCAGTATGCAATTACAATGGTTGCAGCATCCTGGGGACATTGGTAGTCATTTATGATCTTTCTAGCCAGCTTCTGGCAAGCAAAGTCAATCAGAAAAGCCAGACTTGCTTAAAGATCAGATGATTAACTTAAGAACGGCAGAAATTTACTTAACAACCATAGTAAAAAAGATCGTAAAATTGGGTGACTCCCTTACAACCACCTTGCTTAACAACCCAAATTCTAGTGTCAGATGTGTTCATAAGTCAAGGACTACCTTTATTAATCAAGTGTCAACTGCTGAATTCCGCTATTCCATTTTCTCTTTCTACTGGAACACTTCAACACAAGCCCATCAAAGCTATCCAGAATTTTCATCTTGATTTCATACCAATATCTTTGCTCTACTTTTTTTTATATGAATGCTTTCCCAATTAAGAGTTGAATCCACAGGACCAGCCATAATACTGCAGTTGAGTTATATGTCTGCTAATATCACTTTCAAAATACCTTGCCTGCTGATGAAGGTCTATCTGCTTCCCAACCTTTCATTTGGAAAAAAAATAATTCATGAAATGAAACCTGGAGACTTGCTATATTTCTTTGAGGACAAAAGATCAGGCAAATGCATCAATGACTTGTTCAGCTTCCTTCACTAGTTAGGATTTTGTGCTTCCAACTTTCCTGAGCTCAAGTTTAATCTATGTTTCACCAGAAGAAACCCCAACAACTTGCCCATTACTATATGTAGGGATTATAAAATGCTTTATGTCTACTCATGAAGACCAAGAAATACCCAAGAACAGAGGTCATCTCCTATGGTTAAACAAAAGTCACTGGTTTATAAAATATTAACTTGTTCACTAAACTATAAGACATTTTCATTTAAAAGCAGAGTGTTTGATAAATATGTGATTTTCTGCAAAGTTAGCCTGCATTTTTAAGTTATGGTTGTAGAAATTATTTCTGGCTGTGTTGAAGGAAAGGACAGTAGAACCTTCTTCCAGCTTTCTTAATTTAATCTGAATATCCCATAATACAGTAAGCCTGTACTTGACTGGCTTTGGTTACAATGAAGAAAATTCTTGTAAATGGAGAAACACTACCTTCAGTATAATTGTCAAAATCATAGGGTTCATGCCAAAATCTTGAGGGCCGACTACTACTATGTGTTTATGACTGTATTTTATACTATTATATGCACTGGAGTATTTTTTATCAAGATTAGGATCCAAATGAAGCTAAATATATATTCCGCAATAAGAAGTTTCTAAGAAATTCTTTACACTCCATTTGAGCTTTGCTGTTAAGATATATTTTCACACTTAGCTATATAAGTTGTGTGGGAAAGAGAGTGTATCTACTATTAAATAAATTCTGGATTCCCTTTTTGCTAGCTTACTTTCACTTCCTGATGCATTCCAACTAGGATATGGACTGAGAGGCAATAGAGATACGTTTTAAGAATCTGTTTACTACCTTTAAGTAATTGGGCCAACTCATTATAACAATGCAAATTACTTTTTCTGGCACAAATTTCTGTATGACGACACATGAACATAATTTAAAAATTTCCCATGCAAAAGATAATGAAACTTTACTTTCAAAACAATTCTTCTGAAAAATTAGTCTTAACAGAGTTCAGTCTTTTCACTCACTGCTTTATAGATACTCAACTATCTTGGATAAATCTGCATACAACAGCTTTTTGTACATGGAAATTACTACATATATTTCTTACATGACAATGATTCACTGTGGGAAACGTACTTGAAAAAACGTTTGGCTTATGCATTATTCTAACCTTATAGGCCACATTGCCATGATTCACATGGTAAATGGCTTTCATATTTATGGAAGTCTAATACTGTAATATCCATGTATCTGTAATATGTCAGCCTACGATCATTTATATTTGCTAACCTATTCGTGGCATTCTCATTTGTGATATAGGCTTATTAGTTGTTAGGAATGTAAGTCACCTAAGAGGTGGGTTGGAAAATATATAAACCAGGATAGACATTTTAACACTGTCTCTTTAAGGGAATGCTAAAATTGTAATTGGGTGTGGTTCCTCAAACGACCATCAGATAGAGCCAGAAACTTGGGTCATTCTGTTCTGTTGTTGCTGAGAGTGTGTTCCTGCATTTCCCTATTGACTGTTACTGATCATCATTATTCTTGGATTTGATGCAAGTCTGTTACTGAACTGTTTATGATACTGGATATTCGATTATCCCTGGACTGAAAACTGACTGCTTTAATCGTGAATGACTTGGACTGTTTGTTGAACTTTGCTTAACCATTTACTGGAAGTAAAAACCTACATTTTACTATACAGTGTATCTGTGTGCTGGTTGTGTGTTATTCTTCACCACTCTTACTATGTCTCCCTGTGTGCACTCATTCTCCTAACGAGGAATTACCTCAACAGTTGTATTACCAAAATGTAATGTTATATGTCTGCTTTATTCAATATTTTACCTTTCAATTTAAGCTTTGCCTGCAAGGTCTTAAATTTTGAAAAATCTTTTATGGAAATTGTATAATTCCTAAAATAGGCAATAAATGATGTTATCTATATGTCAAGTAAGGGACACACACATACAAAATTTGATTTATGAGCATATATATGTTCCTAGGACCTTCTATCTGCTTGCCTTTAAAGAAAAGAATGATGAGGTAAATTGTTATAATGCGCAAACTGAAATGCTATTTGTCTTCTTGATTAGAAGATCAGCCCAGGATAGTTGAGAGTTGAACACAAACATCTAATCAAAGCTTGGCAATCTTCAAGCCATTATTGTAATGCACAGCTTTACTTTCTCTAGTTCAATATGAATATTCATATTAAAGCCAGTACTTAGAGAAATGTCCATAACTTCATAATTATTGGAATAAACAAGAAAGGATCTTGTAGAGACAGCAGAGGTGATACAGAAAAAAAGCTTCCTTGTCAAAATATTATGGAATGTTTACCTAAATCTGACAATATTACAATTTTAAAGCATCAGAAGACAGAGCCCTTGCAAAGTAAATAATCAAAAGATGTAATGCAGCACAGTTTGATAATACAGACAGGAGAAAAGCAAAAACATCAACAGTCACCTTCTCCAATATCATTTTTCTCAGATGTGTGGACTATAACCCACACACTGTCTGGAAATGATGGCAGTTCTACTTTCAATACATTTGAAAGGCAGGAAATTGAGGAAGGCAGTAGTAAGGATGGTTTTATTGGGCCACTAGTTAGATTAATTCTTCTAAGTGGTAGAAGAATCAAGTAAATAAATATAAATAGCAAAATTGTGTAACTCCAATATACATCATGAATAATTTTATATCATTAGAATAACAGCAAACAAACCTCATTGGCCTTCTCAGGGGTCCCTTTTGGCGTCTCATCTTCATGTTTGGGTGAAGAAGAAGCAGGTGAGGAAGGCAGCCTTCTATCCCGGTCTCTGTGCACAAGCTTGCTATTGGGTTCCTTCAGGGTCCGTTTCAATTCATTAATGCTGGCCTGGTGCTTTAGCAAAACATCTTCTGGTTTGTCTAAAAACTTTTGGATGGAGAGGGGAAGGTAACAACTAAGGTGAGGGTTAGAGGAAGGAACATGAGTGGAGTGAGATGCTTGTGAGATGGGAGCTTCAGAGTATTTAGAATTGGAGGCCTTATGGCCTAGAAAGTAAAGGCTCCACATAATAGACAATGTAAATCATTCAGCCACAATTTTGGTTTCAGTTCCCATCCTCCCTTGGCCAAGGAGGAATTGAGTTCACTAAGGTTGCTATCTAATCCATTGGGAGGCAAGAAGATTGGAGAAGACTGGCTTAGAAGGATCGAACTATTGATTGTTTTGATTGTTCAGGATCAAAAAGCTGCCTCTTAAGTTATATAGGCTTCTACTATTCTTTCTTATCTAGACATGAGATTCTAGAGTGTCTGTGAAGCCTGGATTCCATAATTCCAGAATTAGCAACTCATGGACCAGGAAACAAACAGAGGGAAGCCAGTGTTAAAACGGTCTCCTATAGTAGTTTGTACCTACATTTCTGAAGGAATGAAAAAAAAATTGAAGATGGGCCAAAATAAACTGCAAAACAAGAAAAAGAGTTCCAAATATAGGATACATGTTCATTGAGCATAAAGTTGGGTTTATACTCATAAACTCATAACAGTTTTCACTGTGGCTAAGTTTTCACTTTCTTGGACAATGCAAGCTAATTAAAAAAAGAGGAAATATTCACATAATAATTCCCATCCATTATGTCTAATTCCCCTCACTCTAGACCAGGGCTGTCTAATTCACGGCCCGCAGGCTGGATGCGTCTTGCACTGACCACGCCCAGTTTAGCAAAGGGGGGGTGAAGTGCCAATATGTCATGTGAAGCTGCTATGATGCTGTGAGTTCGACACCCCTGTTCTAGACCAAGAGTAAGGGGAACTTCACAAGACATTGAGAAACAAGGAGTGCATATCTCTGAAGCAGTTTGCCAATTGTCCCTTCACATAATGCTGATGATGTAAATAAGGACTGTACAGGGTTGCAATAAAACATGCAAAATTACTGATGAGAAAATATGGAGGGAATAACCGGCGCTGAACTTCAGGTGCCTGGAGAATATCTATATGTCAGAAGCCTGTGGAACAGCCAGACTAATAATGAGAAATAGACATCTAGCATAGTAAACTCAGTTTGTAAATAAATTTCTTTATCCTGATTGGAGCTTGAATTTTGTTACTACTCAAATTTGCTAAAATAAAAACAAAAACTTTTATATGTAATTCAAAGGAATTTAAACTAATTATCAATTCTGCTATAAAAACAAATAAAAAATTCCCAAACTTTGATCTGCTTGGTGGGAGCCATCTGTAGGTCATAAGCTTCGTAGGACATTATAAACATACACATTGCTACATGGAAGATATTTTGACTGGTTTGGGGGAAATACAGTGCTCCATTTTTCAAATAATCTAACAATTACATTCATAGCCTCATATGAACATTAAAAAGGGGAAATGAACAATAAAAGCAACCTTTTGATGTTGCTTTGTATATCTTGGCACTTTAGCCAATGATTAAATCTAGATCCCATTTTTAGTTCTGGCTTAAAGCTTTGAACATTCTGACCTGCAATTCAGTTATGTAAATTTGTGTCAAGGCTATGTCTGCATCTTCAGAAAGTATCTCCTTCCTGAAAATATCAGGGCCGGGATGGTGGGAAGGGAAGGATCAGGGATAATGGAATGCCATGAAAAAGCAAAAGAATCAGTTGGATGACAAAATAGTTATGATTTTCTAGCAAGCAAGTAGCTGAAGAACTGTAGCTTCTTGCTCACATGACAAGATGAAGGGAAAATGCTGACTTAATGGGGTACAAGATGCAGTCTGTGTATCAAGGGGAAGATTCCCTCATTTCCACCCTGTTCTGCATCTTGCATCCCATTAGAAAGGGCCACATACAATGTTGGCATTTCTTAAAAGATGAAAACTAGGAATGCATTGATGAAAAACTAAAACATTCCAGAGAATACCTCCTGTTTGTGCCTTGGGGTGGTTTCTTGATCCGGCTGGTAGCAAAAAGAGGCAGGAGGGAGGATAAATCAGTTAAGGGAACTCCTATAATAGGCTACAAGATTGCCACAATTTTAATTCAGGTATCAATAAAATAATAAATCTTTGATGCCGCACACTTTCTATAAGAGGTTGTCACCATCTTTCTAGATATAGGAAACCACTGCATCAATTGTATAGCATTGTATTAATCCATGTAGCCCTCGTACCCTGCTTGATTTGTAATATGCATTTTGAATGAAATCTGCCGGCACGCATACAAAAAAAGTCATTTCTTCATAAAGGTTTTACAGAATCAGAAGGACAGGACTTTGGCTGCTCAAGAAGACACAACTGCAATGATTCAGCAGACATGAGCTCTGTTCTTTACATGTCTGTAAATGCTGTTTATTTGTCCCTGGCATTGTCAAAGACAGTGGCTCTGGACAAGAATGGGGTTAACATCCAGATACAGGTTAGATATTAAAGCAATAGGACCCTAGAAGAATCCAACTTGAGAGAAAGGACGATACTGCCTTTTCCAGAAAGGCTCTTTGGAAGACAAACTTGTCAAGACACTGTTACTTAATAAAAAAAGCCTCCATGATCACCACAGTATCTGCAATGGAGCAGTGCAGCGTCCTGGTTTATCCTTCTGCCTACAGTGAAGAAAATCAGCAAAATTCAGCTTTAAAAGCCCAAATTGGATGAATATCTCTAATCGTGGAGAAACTATGCTTCTAACCACTGAGCCCTTGTGGCCCAGTGGTTAGAATTACAAGCTAGCTCTGCCCTAAGTCTGGAGTTCAATCCTAATGGTGCTTGAGATGGACTCAGCCTTCCCCAGATTGTTGGGGACAATACGCTGATCCTGTAAACTGCTTAGAGAGGGTTATAAGGCACTGTGAAGTGGTATAAAAGTCTAAGTGCTATTGTTACATTTCTAAAACAGTTACTGACACACTGGGCAAATGTTTCCTGTGTCATATCAGGAAATAAAAGGCCAGTCTTCAGATTTCAGGATGACTGGTTTCCCCAAGGAACAAGATTCCAAAGATAACAGCAGTTTAACAATGGAAGTTACAGTTTGGAAATTCATACCGGAAGCTGAACAGTATGATGACAAGTGCATGATAAACTGCCAGTGAGAACTTGTTATAAAGACTGAGAAGTATTCTAATAAATAAAAGATAGGAAAAATATTAATAATATTACCGTCGCTTTCGACAATATTTTTGGTATCTAGGAAGCTAAGATGTTTGCATATCAAGTGTAGAATCCACCCTCCAAATGCAGATCAAGTATAACGTAGGTGTTGTACCTTTAACTCCTTGATTTTTGTTGGAGTAGTCACCTCTTCATCTTCAGATCTTGTCCTCCCCCTATACCTGTCGTCTTCTCTCTTGTCTGACTCTGCTCCATCATGATTCTCACTCACTGAAGCTGGGCGGGAGAATTCTGCATAGGAGAGACAAAGAGAGAGAGGAAGAGAGAGAGCAGCCCTATTTTGTCCCATTGACTTTAGCTGAATACAACAAAAATATTATTTCCAATCTGTCTAAATGCCCCTGTGTTCAAGAATTCCTGTGTTCAACAATTCAAAAGCTATTTTGGGGACATGCTTTAGAGGTGTACAACATGCAGTGCCATAAAACCAACTTCTAACAGTCAAATTTTAGTTTGATTCTTGCTTGCATGCCTTAGATTTCTTAGGATTGAATTCCTTGATAATCCTAAAATGTTTCTATTTACAGTATCTATCTGTATAACAATTGATTTGCACATTATTTAAATCATCCAAATGGGAATGCTTCACAAGTGGTGGATAGAAGCTAGAAGTATGGCCTACTTTCTACTATATCCCTTATATTTTATGGATACAACTCTTTTCTATACAGGTAGTTCTCGACTTACAACCAAAATTGGGACCAGAGTTTCAATTGCTAATGATGCAGTCATTATGTGACCAGACCAATTTCACAACCATTTTACTGTAGTCATTAACCAGGTAATGTGGTTAAGTGAATTACATGGTCTTTAAGTGAATCTGGCTTCCACAATTGACTTTTCTTGTTGAAAGCTGGCTGTGAATATCGCAAATTGGGACCATGTGACTACAAAATGCTGCAACTGTAACAAATGCAAAATGGTTATTAAATACCCAAATTGCAATCAGATGGCTGCAGAGGTAGTGCAACAGCCATAGCTTTGAGGATGAATAGTTGTAAATTGAGGAATTAAGAAGAATATTTTGCAAAAGATAATTCCATTTATCATGAACAAGATTCACTATTTCACACTGATAATACTATTTTAGATGCAATAACAAATGCTCAGAATAAATGTTGTTTTTTAGCCTTTAAATTGAAATACATCCACAGTTAGGTGTTTAATTCTTCTGAAGATGTTGGCAACTCAACAGAAATCGGAATTCCACCTTTAGTTGATTTTTCAGTGTAAGAGAACAATGTAATAAGAACATCCAATTGCTAAGAGGAGAAAACTGGTGATTCAGGGCTCCTTATGCCTCTTTTTCATATCTTGACAGCACTAAAAAGATGGTGCCCCATGATGCTTGCCTACTAAGGACAATGAGGTCACTTTCATTAAGCATGGGATACACAGTTGTTAATCAATCATGGCTATACAAAAGGATAGAGGAGATCAGGTCATTTGTGGAATAGCTTCAATCTTCTCTCAGCTTTCACATTTGTTAATCTTCAAAGAAAAGAACCTGGAGTTGCTTTAGAGAATGTAATTTATAGACAGGGAAACTCTTTCACCTACTTATAGGAAGGGAGCCTTTCCCTGTCCAGAAAATTGTGAATAGAATTGTACCATTCTGGAGAAGGAGAATGCCTTTTAGCTTCTCTCTTGGGTTTTCTTTATTGGAAGAGTTGTGAACCTCAACATCGACCACATAATGAAAAAACTATGCTGATGAGAAGTTTTATGGGAAACTATATCTAGTAGCTGCTCTGTATCATCTCTTGCAATTGATGTCTAATCACTGTTGGCAGGCTGATTGCCCAAAAGAGAAACCATCCGTTAATCAATATCTGCATCTTTTTTCTATCTAGAATCAAAGAGAGTGTATACATCTTAGTGAGCTAACTGCACTGGGGGTTTGGAGCAAAAATCCCAAGGGAGCATATTTCTAAAGCCTGGAAACTATTTGTTAACTTTCAATTGCCTCCTTGTGCTGGCAAAGGAGAGCAGGTCTCAATCAGATAATTAATTATGGATAAGCCATAGCTTGACACTGCATTCATCTCTACAAGAAAAGCAACACTCTAGAATTGCTACCATATTTTCCTTCATGTAAAATTGAATTTACTATTGCTTTTTAGACTTCTGTAAGAGTCAAGCAACTTATAAATCTAATCAATAATTAAATAAAACATCCACATCTGCTTATCCCAGGTCCCTGGGAAGAGCTCAATAGGTGGCCAAAATGCCAAATCCAGTCTGAACATCTGGCTGAGAATAATTCATGCATTCATATCCATACAGTCATTTGCTCTGCTTCACTAGCAAGAATGTCAACAATATAATTTGAACCAAATAAATACATAAAATAATAGGGAAATGTTTTGCCATTTCCTTCTTCCCAGATACTTTTCTGGCACTCCAGTCTGGTTTATAGTCTTAGAATTTCTTATGAAAATTCCCATCCAAATACCAAGGAGGTTCAGTTTTCCTTGGTCAAAATAAGCCAAAATCTACTAGATAATGCCTTTTGCAATCCATTCATGCTTCCCCTATATATCAGGGGTCTTCAAACTTGGCAAGTTTAAGACTTGTGGACTTCAACTCCCAGAATTCCTCCCCCAATCATGTTAGCTCAGGAATTCTGGGAGTTGAAGTCCACAAGTTTGAAGATCATTGCTATAGATCAACTAAAGAATCCTTCCACAGCCCTCTGGAGAAAAATGTTCTATATCTTACCAGCAAAACATAATATTCTGATATTAGACCTCAGCCTCCCACCCACCCACCCCCAATACTTGGTTCCATCCTTTGAACAAAGCCTTCCCATACCCACCAGGGAACCAATCTCCCTCCCCCTCCCCAATTTGCAGCATACCTCCATCGAGGCTGCGAGACATGGTGTACCGTTTGCTGGAGGAGCGTTCAAAGTAAGGGGCAGGACGATCAATCAAAGCGCTGGCTTGCCGGGTTTGAGCCTGTGTTCGCCCACTGTAGCGGAATTTGGAGCCCATTACTAGGAAGCCTTTTGGAGGAGGCTCGGGTGACACCAGCCTGCAGAAAGAAAACTGTAATGGGTAAGGATCCGTAACCTTTGAAGTTGTAAAATACTTTTGAAATTTTCATAGTGTGCTGTATGTGGCCTCACCAGATGGTTGCCATGAAAAAGGGCTTGCCTGTGGACTCATGGCTACATTAGTTGGGTAGGGTAGGGTAGGGTAGGGTAGGGTAGGGTAGAATAGAATAGAATAGAATAGAATAGAATAGAATAGAATAGAATAGAATAGAA